CACTCATGTGTACGGCTGTACACTCCTCTTGAAGGAGTGTTTGGCTCGAATGCAACACTATGAACTTAAGATAACTCATCCCTAAACCCAAACCTTGAATGTACTAGGCTTAGAACACTCAAACATACCCTAAACAATGCTAAAGATGGCTGTACTAGATAGAAATTTCGGGTTGTCACACTCTTGACCCTCAATAGAATAGCTATGCCTCTTTCCAAGCATCGGGTACGATGCTATATTTTAATCTTGGGGAGGGAATCCATCCATGCAAATGGATCCCGTTGCGTGTAGGTTGTAGTTTAGTACATATTTGTTGTGCATTTTTTCTTTGCATTGCATATTTTCTTTTTCTTCTCTTATTTTTTTTCTTTTGCATATCTTTTCTTCCAAGTTTCTTCAAAACTCCAAAAAGATTTTCTCATTTGCATCAAACTTCAAAAACTCCAAAAATATTTTAGTCTATGTTTTTTTATCCAATCCAAGGCAACCTGATCTTCTAAAAACAGATGAGTGGGTATGTGAGTTGTATGCCTTGAGATTAGACTTGATTGTTTTTCATTAAGATCTTAAAAGCGGTCTAATCACACACGAAAATGTCTCTCGAAGCTACTCGTCCAAAACAAAAAATGAAGAGGTTCTCAACACCAAAGCATAAGGATATGTATAAGTTAGCCTTTGGAACGCACAACCGATCTTATGATTAGTAATTGCTCAATTGGACCAAAATTCCAAATTCAAGAGAATCATAAAAAGAATATAAAATTTCAATGCCCCAAACCTTCCGGCACTCTAATAATTCTTTTCTGCCTATTTCTTTGTAAGTAACCTGCTTGGGGACAATGTTGCTGACTATACTTACGGGTCTCTGCGCGTTAACATTAGTCCCTCTGAAAATACCTTAGAAGTCTCTCACGGCAATAGATTGTGAGATGTCCTAATAGTAGAAAATTCAAGGACAAAAATATAAATAATTAGGACAAACAAATAACTTAAACATGTAGATATATACTCTTCCCTCACAATTGTACTCCTTTGTTTATGCCATAGTAGCGCCCTCCTTGTGAACACTATCTTGGTATGTCGCGTCAAGCCGACATTTAAGCATGAGTGAATCTTTGGATACTTTGATATTGTGGATGTATCTAAGTTAAATCTTCTTCTTATTCATCCTAATGGTACTTATGCTAAAATTGAGAAAACTGGAAATATGAATTTGTCTGAGTCCTTAACCTTGTTTGATGTTTTTCTAGTTCCTGATTTCAAGGTCAACTTGTTGTCTGTTCATAAGGTCTACAAAGATAGTAATTGTGAAGTTATTTTTAATGAACATAACTATAAAATATACGGTTTACAATCAAAGGAGATGGTGGGGGAATGGTGGAGAATCTAGAGGTCTCTATTATATAGATAGTGTTCCTTCAGGTAATACTTCTAGGATAAATAGTTCTTCTTTTGTATGTTGACTTTCTAAAATTATTTGGCATAACAGACTCGGTCATCCCTCTGATCAAGCCTTAATTTCTTTAAAAAAACAAACTCAAATTTGGAAATGATGTCCTTCCTCCTTGTGGTATTCGTCACAAAGCTAAACAAACTAGAAAGTCCATCCCTACTAGTTAACATGTCACTACTAAACTTGGTGAGTTAATCCATCTTGATGTTTAGGGTCCTTATAGGGTGACAACTTCAGAAGGATTTAGGTATTTTTTGACCATTGTGGATGATTTCTCAAGTGCCACTTGGGTTTATTTGTTCTAAGGATGAAGTATATGATTGTGTTTCTATTTTCTATAACATTCTTCTTAATCAGCTTGAAAATCAAAGTTAAGACTGTAAGATCTAACAATGGAACTGAATTTTTAAATCATAAAATGAAACATTTGTTTGAATCTGAAGGAATTTTGCATCGAACTTCCTGTATTAATACTCCACAACAATATGGTGTTGTGGAGAGGAAACATAGGCATATTTTAAATGTTGGTAGGTCTTCGTTTTTTCAATCTGGTTTACCTCTTAAATACTGGGGAGAATTTATGTTAACTTCTGTGTTTCTTATTAATAGAACCCCCACTTTGGTTTTCAATGCTGCCTCTCCTTATGAACTTGTTTACAATACTTCTCCAACCTTTGATAAACTTAAGGTATTTGGTTGTTTATGTTTTGCTTCCAAATTAAACAACTTGGATAAATTTTTTGAAAGGGCTGATAAAAGTATTTTTCTTGATTATTCTCCTAATAAGAAGGGTTACAAAGTTCTTAGTCTTGATTCAAATCTTATTTTAGTTTCGAAGGATGTAAAATTTTATGAGACTTTATTGCCCTTCAAGCTTAATTCATCATCCTCCTCTGTGATTGATAAATCTAGTGTTTCCTTTAATACTAATGATCCTTTTTCCTATGGAAAGTCTTTATTATCTAGTTCTTTACATGAAAATGCTAGTTTAGATAACTTGAGAGGTGTCCATCGTATGGATGGTGCTAGTGCTGACCATAATCTGGATGAGACTAGTCCCTCTGATGTCAACAATCAGACTAGCGAGGAACATGTGCTTCCCGTTGATGAGATGTTTCCTAGTTCATCTACTTTGATTAAGGAAAGTGGTCCACTTAATTCTAATCCTTCTGAAGGTCAGTCTACTAGGGTCACTAGATCTGGTTGTGATGTACACATACCAGTTAGGTTTAGTGATTATGTTGTGGAGTAGATGCATAAATATGGAATTGCGAGGTCTGTTAACTATTCTGATCTTAATAGCGAAAACTTGTGTTTTGTTTCTAATCTGAATAAAACCCATGAACCTAACACTTATAATGACACTGTCTTAGACCATAATTGGGTAAAGGCAATGAATGATGAAATGAAAGCACTTTCTAGGAATAACACGTGGGAGATTGCTGATCTTCCTAAAGGCAGAAAAGTCATTGGTTGTTGTTGGATTTACAAAATTAAATATAAATCTAACAGTGAAATAGAGAGGTATAAAGCTAGATTAGTAGCTAAAGGGTACAATCGGAGAGAAGGAATTGACTATGAGGAAAAAATTTCTCCGGTAGCCAAAATACTTACTGTCCGAATTGTTATATCTTTAGTTGTTCAGAATTCATGGCCTTTATATCAGATTAACATAAACAATGCTTTTTTATATTGTGATTTAACTGCAATTGTTTTTATAAGTTTACCTGAAGGTTATCATACTAAGGGTGATGCTAGAGTCTACTGATTAAGTCACTTTATGGACTTAAACAAGCCCCTAGAAAATGGAACGAAAAATTATGTTCTTCATTTTAAACCTTTGGTTTTAAACCGAGTAATAACAATTATTCTTTGTTTCTTAGGAATTTTAAAAATATTATTGTTGTTTTAGTGGTTTATGTGGACGATATTATTATTATTACAAATTGCAACATTGATTTGGATAATGTTAAAAAGTTTCTTAAATCTCAATTTTTGATTAAAGACTTAGGATAACTGAAATATATTTTGGGTATTGAAGTTATTAGAATTGATAGTGGTTTTTGTCTTAATCAAAGAAAATATTGTTTGGAATTACTGTATGAGTTTGGGATGCTTGTTAAAACCCCTCTTGAAGCTAATTTGGTTATTAAAAGAGAATGTGATTTGGACAGTTCTTATTTTTTGGTAAATATAACTGAATTTCAAAAATTAATAGGCAAATAGGTTTACTTAACTATTACTCGTCCTGACATTTCTTATGTTGTTCAGATTTTAAGTCAATATATGCAGTACCTTATAAGTCACATTTAAATATAGATTTTAGACTTTTAAGATATTTGAAGGATAGTCCTGGTAAGGGTATTCATATAACTAAGGCTAGTTCTTTTGTCTAGTTGGGTTTGTGGATGCTGATGGGAAAAATGTTTGTTTAGTCAAAGATGTAACTGGATATCTTGTGTATTTGGGTGGTTGTCTTATTTCATGGAAAAGCAAGAAACAAAGTATTGTTTCTCTCTCTTCCACTGAGTGTAGGGACTTGGGTTCTATTACTTGTGAAGTAATTTAGATTCTAAAGTTGTTGTTTGATTTAGGATTTAAGAAACTCCTGTCAATATATTTTGTGATAACGAGTCTATCATTAAATTGGCTTTGAATCCGGGTTTTCACGAAAAAAAGCAATAATTTTGAGGCATATCTTCACTTTGTTCGGGAAAAAATTGAAAGTGGTGTTCTAAAAGTTAATAAAATTGAATCTTTGAATCAGAATGCATATACTCGAACAACAGCTCATGGGAGTGGTCAACATGATTATATTTATGGTCGTCTTGGTTTAACTGATGTTTTTAAAAAGAGGTGATTTTTCCTCTCTCAAATTAATGTTTAGTTTGAGAGGGGGTGTTGAAATATCACATATTCATGTTTCTTTCAAACGTAAACATTAATTTATTATCTTGGTTAGATATTGTATATTGTATTTTTCTTGTGGGTTTGTTGTGTATTTCTGATGCAGGTATCGGGTTTACACATGGATCTTGGGTGATCCATGGAGCTTCATGGGTCTTTCTTAGACATAAGTATTTACTGTTCAGTGGATGTTTCATTTTGCAACACACTCACTCATTCAATCCTCTCCGATACAAGAACTCTCTCTAAAAGATAGATTAGGGTTTCATATCTTGTTTAGGGTTTGATCTTTGACAAAATTGATCGTATTTCTTTCTGTTGTTCATATGAGCATGAGTGTGATTGTAGAGAGCTTTCTTCTGTAAGTTGATGTACAAACGAACTGTATAAACTGTTCATGTTGTGAATACCTTGAGTTTCTACTTTTTGTACACCAATCTACAACAAAATTCACCTAAGAATACATCCAATCACACCTAAAATTGAAAAGTTATCTTAGTGTAAAACATTTGAGCACTCACTAGTGTGCAAATGATGAGCAACAAGTACTTGTCAAATTCGGAAATTAACTAGAAATTAACACAAACTAAACATGATTTCTGAATGATAATGATGCAGTCTTGAAGAACAGAAATGGTTTTTAAGGAAATGGATCCTTTAAGTAAGCACGCCACTTGTCAATAGATGTCAACTCGTCTGGATCCAAGCATGGAAGTTCACGTTCTTGAAGGGTGTTGACTATATTTGTAGCCTCACCGAGAAGCTGAGCTGCAGCATGGACACTCGCCTCCCTTTTCTCTATGGCACTTGTGTGGCATTTCATTGCTATGACTTGGGGTAAGTTGGTGAGGCATGCAGCTAATATATCGGCTGTCATTAATGATATTTGCACAAATAGTTCCTCCTGGCTAAGCTGGTCAATATCCCCATGGTAGGAAAGCAGGATTGTTTCTGTGACACGATACATTGAATTGGCAGAAATACACCTCCACTTGGAATAATCATTTGGGACTCCAGTACGCATACCTTCATCCTTGATAACCATTTTTTTAGCTGTATCGCTCAACCATTGAAGAATCTGTCCTGCTGTATTTACTTGAGAATCAGGTTTTTGCAGCTTGTTTCCTAACCATGTGTTGTGAACTTCAACTTCTAGCCACACAGTTTTAGCCGCCTTTTGAATGCTTACATGATCATCAATACCACCGAGGCTTTCTTCCACAAGTGTGACATATACAAGACCTTCTCTCACAGCACTAATCAGCAAGCGATCGACTATGTTCTTTTGGATGTTAGGAAGAGACATGGCGATTGTTGTCAGAGTTACCAATGGCAAGCTCCAACTGTTGAGATATTCTTCTGAAAGTAAAGGTGGAACATGATGGCTGTCAAACTTTTCAACTCCTTCAAAACTTCTGGATTCTGCTAGAAGTTTGATAAGATTGTTGGGTTGTTGTTTTTCAGCCTTCTGGATCAAATGGTTCACGGATTTTAAAATCCCTTTCAATGTTCTCTCAGGAAACTCCATGTCATCTTCAAGTTGCAAAACATACCGGCTAAGATCTTTATCTTTTTCTAGTTGTTCATCGGGGTTTTGTACCAAGTCAACACGTGAGGCACGAAACATGGCCTTTAACCACTTCCAACATCGGAGACAATACAAGACACATATCACAAAGAAAATTGGAATCAGCGTTATAATTTTGCATGCTACCACGACTATCAGCTGAAATGATATACAAATGTTGAGAAATAAGCTTTTCAAAGTCTGGATAACAATTTTGCAGTGACGCCTACTGGATGGGAATGGTAAGCTGCTGTATTTCCAATCAGATAATTTCTGGGTCCAGTAGCTCTCTACTTTAAAGACCTTGATATGCCTCCAAATCCATTTTACTGATAACTTAAAGCTCAAGGCTGCAAAGCATCTAGCAAGTGGGGCAATTGTACCCAGAATGACTCCAATAAGTTGTACTATGCGAATCAGTAACATTGACCACTTATAATCCGACCTAAAGTCCCTTGTGTGTGGCATCCTGAAAATAGGCATACTCCAAATATGTAAGATAGTGGTTAAAGCACATATTACCCCAGAAGCAGAGGTTGTAGCAAAGGAAGCTGTCATGAATTGGGGGCTTCCCGTTTTTGCCATAATCCAGTAGTTGCTCACATGTTTCTTTAGCTTGTCAACAGTCGGTTGTAGGAGCTCCTGATCCTTTAAAGTTGTTTGATGAGCTGCTTGGTATTTCGATTCCAGAATTTGTTTGGACTTTAGAATTGCTAAAGATGAACATGCATATATTATCAACAACATGAGTAACACAACCACGTAACTGATTGTTAGCATGAAACTGAAAGATGGGTAGAATAGTGTATAGTCTCCATCTGTAAAACCTGTTAAGACCACAGTTTCCTCTTCATGATAGGAGAGGACTCCCGTGTTTATTTGAATGCAGACATTCACAACCAAGGTGATTACCAGAACGCCTAAAGCTATCATATTTGTCACAAGTTCCTTGCTGTTCATAGTTGCTAGAGAAGGCAATAGATTAGCCATTATGGTGCACATAAAGCTCACACTTCCAAGCTTCGCAGCCTGGTCCTCATAACTTGGCATTAGATTAGTTAGATCCATGGGTAGCTTTATAGCAACAGCTATCACAGTGAGAGAAGCAGCATTCAGAGTGAAATATTTACACGGAAACCAGAGCTTTCTGTTCCGCAAACCATGTAATAAGTCAGCCATCATTGCAAGGATGCAGAACAGAGATGCTAATGCAATATACATCCCAATCCATGGCATAGGTTTACCGAACCTGTTTTGCTGATGTGACTGGAACAGTGAAATCCAAAGACCAGATAGGTATTCTGCTGTGATATTGGGGCAAGATGCCACGTGTTCCACGAAATATTGAAAGTTGGAATCCATGATTATCTTTTCCAAGACAAAGGAAATCGCAGTATGGGATCTTCAAAGGGGGTGTTAGGAGATGCAAAGTGCAAAAAATGAAACTTTCATGTTTATAATCCCCCACTTGATCCCTCACATGCATGAACCTTCCATGTCATCAGACTTTAAATACAAAAATAAAAAGTCAATGTTACAGGTGAAGGAGAATTTCCAAGGAAACATCAAGAGAATATCATCCAAAAGTAGATAATACGAATACTCAAGTAATATATCGATACTCGTAATTAATAATATAATATAACAGGAGAATATATATACATCAAATTCGTTCAATCGGATTTCACTGGTTGTTTAATTGTTTTATGATAGAAGTTTTTATCCATAGCCTGACCAAGCCAAAATGATAAATCTCTCTAAAACACAAGAAAACAAATAGTACATAATTCATCAATTATATATGAATAATGACTAGGTCGACATACTCTTTTTTAATCTACGAAGCAAGACATTCAATATAATAAAGTTATGAAATTCATATCTAACTAAATGTAACCACAATCCATCTTTAATAATTTATAAAAATACCTTAGAAGATTTAATTTAAATTCAAACATTTTTAGTTATGTTGACCAGATTATTATTGGTTTGGTAAACCAACATAAAATATGTTTCTATTTTTTCAAATGTGCTGTTTGAAAACCGTTGACATTCATGAAAGCATCGGGATTCTGTAGAAGAGCTACATCATGACGTTTTGTAGAAAAATATATAATATATTCTGATGTTCTTTTAGTCATATGGTCTATATAGATCGTATAAAAATAACTTTAATTTGCAATATTTATAAAAATACCCAGCTTTTCGGTAGTAATGGGGACAGCTTCTTTAGTATCATCTGCTTTTTTTCCTTTTGGTCAATATTTGTTTACATTTGGTACGAGTAGGTGTTTGAATTATGCAGACTGATTGCTTTTAAAGGAAATCAAGGTGTCCGATATTGTATATACACAATTTCTTTTCTATCTCCCTAGTTCTTTATATTGAGTCTCAATGTATTGTACTTCATCCCAAGATCAATAATAAATCTCTCTATTTCATATGTGGATGTCGCATGATTATTTGATAATGTGAATCAGATAATTTTTTTGTCTTTTGTCTTTTTTTTTTTTTATATATATTATTCTTTGCATCTTTTCATCTTTTAATGTGACTTTGTTGGTTGAATACCTAATGCGGAACATATACATGATTTAGCAAAAGCGTTTATGGTAGGGGTGAGCATGGTGCGGTTTGGTGCGGTTTTAGGATCAAACCGAATCGCAAACCGCACGGTGCGGTTTTTGAATTCTAGAAACCGTTGTGTGCGGTTTTTCAATGGTTCGGTTTTACGGTTTTTAAGTGCAGTTTCGGTTTGTACCGGTTCGGTGTGGGTTTTAAACCGAGTTAAACATATGGTGTGATTTTTTATGTTCACCGGTACGATTTTTTTAACTATGATGTTCATGTGAAGATTTATGATTGTATGACATGGTGTCATTTTGTTTCCCCACATTTAGAAGCTGTAATTTTCAGTTTTTTTTATGTTGTTTACTTGATCACTTCATTTGCAGCTCATATTCCCAAGCTCATTTTTTTATTCAATTTGCACTTTGAAGTTACAAGTTTGCAAGTTGTAGCCCACATAGTGTTTACACTTACACATAATCATTAAGTCACAAACATAAAGTGACAAACTCACATATTAAACCTAATACCGAATTATTAATTACCGTCAAGTGTAATATATAATATATGTATAAATTAGAATTTATTAGTTTTTTAAATAATATGTATAATTGTGTAATATAAATTAGTGATTTGTTTTAGTGTTAATAAGCTTGCGGTGCGGTTCGGTTTTGATGGTCCGGTTTCTAGAAAAAAACCGCACCGCACCAATAAATTTGGTTTTTCAAAAAAATAAAATCCGCACATCGGTTTTTGCGTCGGTTTCGGTTTTTCGGTTGCGGTTTATTACGGTTTTTGCGGTTTTTATTTTATCGGTTCGGTTTTTGCTCACCCCTAGTTTATGGACAAGTGAGAGAAGGAGGCCGAATTCAAAATGGATGTAACTTTTTAATCCGTAAATTTTGTGGAAGTGTTCAATACAATGTTGGAAAGCTCTCGACAAGACGGACCATCAAATAGGTAGCCAAAGACAACCTGCCCCACGCCCCCATGGTTGATCCCAAATTCTGCTGTTTAGGGCCTCCACTTTGCAATTTCCCCTAATTTCAATCCATTTCAATGATTTCTGTGATTTTGTTTTAATGACAAAATATGTCATTTCTTGGATTTTAAAGTTGAGAAAATGACCATCATAGCTAATCTCCTCAAAGTTTATCCAAGAAATAGCCAAAAATCAGTCAAATGCCAAAAGTAGCCCGAGTTTGTGCAGGCCACCATCTGGGAAAATGTTGGATGCCTGTGTTTTTTTTTGTGCCAAAAGAACGTTGTACTAGATTTTTTTGGACTGCAAAATATTACGTCATCTGCAAAAATCTGTAATAAATTGTATTTTCTAAAAAACAAGTATTGTCATGTCACTGCGAAAAAACGTAGACCGTACAAGCAAATTCAGAAGTCATACTGCGAAAATTTATACAATGTAGACTAAGTTATCTTATAGGAAAGTATCTTGATATAAAAAAAACACAATCTATATCCATTTGTCTGATTTTCTGAGCTAACTTTTATACATTTTTTTGTTTAATTTACTTCAAAGGTTATTCAGCTTACAATTTATGTTGTTAAAAAAACATGAGTTTCAACGATCATGATGAATATTTTATTGTTGTTCGTATCGGTAGTTCATGGCAGTAAGAAAATAGGGAATTGAAATGAACTGTTACCATACCAACCGAATCATCTATTATGTAAATTCCTGGTTTATTTCTTCACTTTAATCTTCATCATCTTCTTCCATTTGATGAGTAAATATCACATTCATCTCTTTCCTGTACCCATGTGCCGAAGCAAATTTCTCATCACAACGATAACATAAATAATATGTTCTCTTGAATTGTAACTCTCCCTTGAGGAATTAATCGAAAAATAATCAAAAGGTTCTTCAAGTCACCATCTCTTCAACTATATACTTGTATCTGACTAAGTTCGGATCATACACGACACCAGTTGAATTCGGGAGGAAATTCTTTCAAATGTGGGAGACTATAACAAAATTGTCAAAATTTAGTTTCTTTCTTGATTTGAATAACCTCATTTGCACGTGTAGACACAATACACTTAAGACTTAGCAATTAGAAGCTAAGTTATGATCTGCTAGAACTTGGAAACGATTAGGAGCGAGTGAAAGTATACTTAATATTCACATTGGTATGTGAATTATCCAACTTTCTTATAAAATGCCAAAGCTCAACATTAAAACTTAACACAAAAATCATGTGCGGTAGATCAAAGCTCAAGGGTATGTTGAATACCATAATTATCAAATTTGAAACACTCTAAATGCTTAACAAGTTTAAGTATTTTAAAAAAATGTGAACTAATTAAATCATAATACGATTTAATTATAAATTTGAATCAAAGTTCATACAATTTATAAATTGAATTATGAATAAAAAATATAAGATCTAAGGCTTGTCTAATCCTATATTCGTAAATTATGAAACCCTATTTAAATTATTTGAAATAAAAATTTGATTTCAATACAAGTCCCGTGACTTGTTACATAATATACATGGTCAAATTACAAATTTGGAAGAAAAAAAAATACTATTAATACTCCATCAAATTAATTAAGTATTTAACTACTTTATTAATTAAATAAACTTACTGTATTCAAATTCTAATATGATTAGATCATAAAAGTATTACATATGCTTATTAGAATTCAAATTGTAGATCCAATCATATAAGTCAAATATTCTATAAATTAACCTTTATATTTTATAAACTTCTATTCCAAATTTTATAAAAATTCACCACCAACTTTTATAAATGATGCCAAGTACTAAGAAAAACCTCATTTCTCTCCTTCTCCCCATTAAAAATTCAGCCATAGGCCTTTCTCCCACTCTTTTTTGCCTTAAATTATTTCATTTCAACTAATTTGAGCATTTCCTACACTCAACCTTCTCTCTATTTCTCCAAGAAACCTCTCCCTCTCAAAAACACTATCAAAACTATCCAAAAACCATCCATAATCTTCCCTATTCTTGAAACTTTTAAGCTCTTGAAGTGTTCTTGCATAACCAAGAATCACAACCAAAGTATGAAACACAACACCTTCTTGTGGTTTTGCTAATTTGCTCCAATTTCTTCTTGTTTTTCACTATTTTTCGGATTCTATGCCCTTCCAAGGAGTAGAATATTTTCCTCTATCTTAGTTTTTGTAGATTTTCACCAGCACATGTTACATGTGTTACAAATGGTGAAGATCTATGATCAAACCTATGTTAAGATCATGATTTAAGCCATGCATGTGCATATTATTTCAAAAATCGACTTCTACACATTTATCTTCATTAAACTTGTTTTCTTATTGTAAAAATTGTTTTTAGAACATCATGGACGTGTTTTAATACCATGAATGTCGAAAAAGATAGTTGCATGTCCATGATCTTAGCATAAAAAAATCAGTTTTCAAGTTAAGGACATCAAACTCATTTTAAGAGTTCTCGAGGAACAAGATTTTTGTACATGGATGCATGTATGTATTTTATGATTTTAAATATATTTTGCCTCTAGAAACACGACCAAAACATGAATGGATCATGATGTCATTAAATTATTCTAAAATATTTTCTCAAAGTAATGATTAAAGCTCAGTTTTCAAGTCCTTTAGCATGCATGCAATCTGCCAAATTTCCTCACTTGACTTTAAACTGCCATATCTCACTCATTTTTCAACCAAAATTTGATATATTTCTTCTGAAATATATTGTTTTGATCTAAATTCGAACCTAAGTGCTTTCACTAGAAATTATTATGATTTCGAGTTTTAACAATTTTTTCAAAAC